GTGTTCTGTGAAATTCTTTGTTGTCCAATAGGTTTTTCAAAATGTAATGTGGGAAGTGTAATGTTAATGCCTAAATTTGAATTTGGTTTAGACATATTTGTTACCTTTTGTTTGGGATGAAGATACAGTTGGGTAGAGTGCCTTCCTTAACTACCAAAATTCCTGTAGACAGAAAGTAACAGTGGAGTTTATGTAATTGAGCTATTTCTGATTCTTTCAGGTCAGATTTAAAACTGTAGAATATTTTGAAGCAAATATGGTTGAGAATGATTACATTGCTATCCTGGGCAGCTCAGACTATTCCTGTGAGGTATTCTGCTGTGACAAATGCTCCAAGCAACCTTGTTTAATCTTTGATATCTAATTTGTGTAGGCGTCGACCAGAAGATTATGATATTCATAACAGCAGAAAGAAACCAAGGATTGACTATCCCCCTGAGTTTCACCAAAGACCAGGTTAATATCTTACTATGAAGATTTGTGTGCACCAATTCACAAGTGTTTATTCTTTTAGCATATCCTTGTTAATTCAAAAGTAGAATACTGATATAACTGGGATATAAAAATGTGCTCGTTCCAAGTGCTGCCTGCTGCTTTAACCCACCTCTTGAAGAAGTCAGTGACACTGTTTCACTGATTTGAGAGCTGAGTTAACCTAGGCTGAGCACTTTCTGGGAACCTTGAACTGTGTACATTGTTGTAAATTATCTTCTTAAGTGCTGTGTTTATGTGGGCACAAAAGTAGATCTGACCTACTTGTCAAGATGCTAGTCATCAAATGAAAATGTTTGAGAAATTTCCACCTGGGAATGTCAGCTGAGACTGCATGACTAGTAGCCTTTGTGTGAAGATGATGGCAGACATTCAGTTGTGTTTTCAGAGAGGTTTTTTTACAAGCTTGACATGAGTTAGGGAGGAGGATGTTGCACTGCATTTTACAAGAGGATCATTTTACAGGAGGATCTAATGATGAAGGGAAATTTGTTGTTCCCTAGAAAGAAATGTTTGCAGTGGTACTGCAGCAACAGCACTGCTTGTAGTGCAGCTTTTTTTTTTTTTCTTCAGAAATCAGCTATTAAGAAATTGTCACTTTTAGTCTGCCAAATTGTGCTTCACACCTCTCAGAAAAGCACATTCTGCTATTTCAGTTGTAGATTTGTAAACCTCTTCAGAACATGCCTGTATCTGTCCAGCTTCTCTACAAAGACTGCATTCTTTCATGCAAAAAGTGTTGTTGCTGCTCTGCATCTTTCTAACACCATTGTTTAAAAACCAGAACAAGATGTTTTAAAAAATAATGAAGGTCCCAATTTTATTTTAGTGCAAGCATGCCTGATATTTTGCATCATTCTACTGAGCTCTTTAAAGGGGTTTACTGAAACTGTATGAATTCTTTGCCCTGTGGGGCTTTCCAGAAACTTTTTTTAGATTGTTTTTAATTTCCTCTGTAGCATTGTGTCCAAAACATATTAGGAAATGAGCTTTAAGGGTTGCCCCGATTAACACTTTCTACTGAATACGCAGTTAGGAATTAGTAACAGTCACATGCTAAATGCCTGGAGACAGCACTTTTCAAATTCATGTGCATTCCTAATTCATTTGACTGAATTTCAAGTCTTTATTTGCACAGTTTCCCTCTTGCGTATTTGTTTGTTCTGGCTGCAAGTTCTTACGGGTTTATTGATGTCACTTTTTTGTTATTACATTTTACTACTTGTCTGCATTGCCTATTAGAAGCTGTAAGTTTTCAGGAGTTATTTTAAAAGTGAGGGTAATGGCAGGTAGACATAATTTTGTAGCAGGCACAAAATGAAAGGACACTTTCTAATTAATATAATTTTTAAGATTGTTAACTTGAGACGGTAAATTGAATTAATACTGCTTGATGTTCGAACAGGGTATATAAAGGATCCCAGATATCCCGAAGTAGACAGGTAAGGTGTGTTCATGTTATTCATTTTATGTCCTGGTAACTTGTCTGCACGGATAAGTTGGATTTAGTTCTATAAATTTTTATTCCCAACAGACGATTTTCAGGAGTTCGACGAGATGTATTTTTAAATGGGGTAAGTTGCTGCATGCAAATTTTTTGGGCAACTTTATATTCAGCTTTCTGCACTTCCAAAGAACACTCAACACAAATTTTAATATTACTGTCTTTCATTTTAGTCTTACAATGATTACGTGAGGGAGTTCCACAACATGGGACCACCACCGCCATGGCAAGGAATGGTTTGTGTCTTTATTGAATTTGATTTTTCTCCTTAGCATACAGCTTCTGTTTTTTCCCCCAAAAGGAGCCTGGCATATTCAATGTGCTTTCAACTCTAAGCTTTTCCTAAAATGTGTCTTTGCTGTAACAGTGTAAAAATTTTAGGGGGAAAATATTCATAATAAGTATTTTAAAATTTACTTCCAAGAGTAGTCTGGCATTCTTGGTAAGCTCTGAAGAAATAGCAGAACCCTCCTTTAGCCTAGACGGGAGGGTGTGATCACATTCTGCATCCTGCTAAATGTTCATGGTAATTGGCCCTTGAACAGCAAATGCATCAAACAGGTGGACTTTGTTGAAGAAGCTCATGGAATGGGCTGCTGGGCTCTAGTGTTGTGCAGTGGCTTGCTTTTGGCAATGGCAATGAAGCATGCAGGAAACTGGCAAAATATGCTGCACAGCCTAATTAAAATAAGTCTTCCTGTATTACAGCCTCCACTGAAATGCACTTTTTTCCCAGTAAGATGAGCAGATACATGAGTGTACATATCTACAACAATGTAGGTAGTTGTACAAGTTGTGGCCTTCATGTCAGGATAAGTAGTCATAGTGAGGTTATTTTGGTTATATTTAGTAAGTCTGGCTGGATTTTGTATAACTGTGAGTCTTCTGGCTCTTATTTGTACTGGCAATGAGCAAAAAGCAGTGCCATATGTAGAGATGCTCGTATAGCCTCTCATTTTTGTCAGCTGAAACACAACTCCTTACAACTGAAGGAAGTAAACAAGGTTGTCAGATGGGAGGAAAAACAGTTTTTTAAACAGTTAAGCCTCCAGAAACTCCCTTCTTTTTTTCTCCTCCCCTCTTCTGCATGCAATCCAAGTAGTTGTCCTAGAATCCAGTGCTTCCATTTACTTTCTTTGTAACAAAGATGCAAGCCAAAATGCTTTGGTACTATGTCAGTGGAGGACCTTGCTGATTGAAGAAATGGAAGAAATCAGCGAAAATAGTTCTTGTTTAAAAACAACAAAAAAAAGGGCTAGAATTTTGTCAAATAATTTGTCTTGCAAATTATTTTATTTTTAATTTAGAATAGAAACATATTCATAAGGAATGAATATGACTTGTTTCTCTACGAGCTCATTGGTTTGGACAGAATTCACATTCTATATGCAAAGGTTTAAAAAACCCAAAGCTGAAACTGCCACACTTACATAGCAGAAGTTTTATGTACGGTGTCACATTGAGGCAGATGCAGAAGGAAGGGATATTGGGCTGTGGGGAGGGTGTGTACCAGACTTCTCCAAGCAATGGTAGAGAGGGGGTAAAGCATGCCAGCCTAATGGAAAGTAGTCTGCTGTTCAGTTAGGAGGCTGTGATCAGATTTATTTAGATGCTATGTTTTCCATCTGAATGATGCACTCCTTGTGTGCATTCCTTTGCTTCAACAAACTTCCTGTAACTTTCTTGTAGCCACCGTATCCAGGTATGGAGCAACCACCACACCACCCTTACTATCAGCACCATGCACCTCCACCTCAAGCTCACCCTCCATACTCAGGACATCATCCTGTACCCCATGAAGCGAGATACAGAGACAAACGAGTAGTAAGTGTCCACACAGACAGAGGGGATGCAAGTCTGCAGGCCAGGGTAGGAATCTGGGGTCCAGGGGAATAGCCTAGCCTGAGCTTTGTTGGCTGTGATCAACAGGATATTTATGACCTGTGTTAGAGTTCCTTGGGAAGATCAGTTGTTTAGATTGACTGCACACTTTCTGCAAATTTGAAAAGCCTTTCTCTTGCTGGTGAGGTAGAGGTGAAAAATTCTCTTACTCTTAAACTGAGGTTTATGCTTAAATTGGCTTCCAGCCTGTCCACCTCTGAAGGTTTTCATGCTGAAGCCTGGTTTGAATAAGGACAGGCCTGTAACTTTGCTTGTGCTCATTGACAACAAATTACTTTATCAGCAGAATTTGTGTTTTAAAACTTCTTACAGGCACATCAGAAAACAGGGTGGATTATTAAATTTCTGTTAGCTGGCTTGAAAGGCTCCTTAGCTTTCAGGTCTGGCATTTGAACCCCAGATTCTGCGCATGGATGCTGGACAATTTGTTTGGTTGGGTTTGCCTTTTTTGAAATACTGAGTTTTCTAAAGAGTTACAGCCAGACTTATAGATAGGGGAATTCTGATCTGGGAAAGAAAATAGCAGAGCTGTCCTTTCATCACAGCACGACTATGACATGAGAGTAGACGACTTCCTTCGCCGCACACAAGCTGTTGTCAGCGGTCGGAGAAGCCGGCCCCGGGAGAGGGACCGAGAGCGGGAGCGCGACCGGCCTCGAGATAATCGGAGAGACAGAGAACGTGACAGAGGCCGTGATCGGGAAAGGGAGAGAGAGAGGATTTGTGACCGGGACAGAGACAGAGGTGAAAGAGGTAGATACCGAAGATAATCTATCTGGAACAGTGCTCACTTGAAACAAAAAAAAAAAACTTGTATTTTTTTGTGTGTTTACAAGTAGTACATTTTATTTTCAGCTGTCTACTTAAAGTTCGTTGTGTAGAAGGATTTATAATGACCCTCTCTATTCCAAGCATGCAGTGAACTATGAACTGGAAAAACTCAAATAGGCCAAAAATAAAATACACAAAGCTGACACTCAACTTCATGTTTCTATTGGAACAAAGTTGGAAGCAGCTAAGAATGTAGATATTGATTAATTCTCAATAAATGTTCTACTTAGTGACTTCATTCTAGGTTTTTGAATACTGATGGATAACAGCCTTTTTTTTTTTTTTTTTGCTTTGATGTTTTCTTTCTGTAGTTTCATATGGTTCGATGGGAGAATGCTGCTATCAAGTATGCAAATACTGAAGTATGATCTCTTTTTCTTTTTTTTGACGGTATGGCAGTGTTGTAGCAGCCTTTTTTTCCCCCTCCCCCTCTTTTCCCCCCCATTTTTTAACCCTATCTGTGAAGTCAAATGTTTTTTTTTCAGTCTTCAGTAAGGAAAGCAATATTAAGAAGACACTATTGATACCTAATTTGTAGCCTTTTTTAAAAATCTTCCTGTGTTCAGTAATACTTTGGTCAATCCTCTTGTCTGGTCTCTTTCCAAAATGTACACATTGCTTGGAATGTTCACAACCTGCGTGCGTGAAACCAGAAAATATTGCTGTATTCTACATTGCTACCATTTTTTTTTTATAAAAATAAATTGGTAACTATTGAAATGTTTAAAACTCCATGTTGGGTTTCTTGGTTTTCTAAGCTTTGCTAGATTCCAGCAGTTCTAGGAAAATATCTCTGTTCATAAATAGTTCAAATGTTCTTTGTGGTAAGCAAAATTGATCTGAAGCCTGAATTTAGGAAAAGGACTACTGATATAAAAGGTAATTGCATTTCTGTTTCCATAGTGAAGTAGCCAATAACTCTTGCAGTTCATGAGAATTATTAAGGCCCTACGTGCTCAACTTAATCGTATAATCTTCAGGCTGTTGTCCTCAGCCACAATGTACCTGTCTCAGGAATGTTAGTCCTGCAAGATCCAGAGTCTGCACATATGTTCTTTGTAGTGGTCACTTGTTACTTCTCTTAAATAAGAAATATTTTACCTAAATGCCAATGGTAAAACGGTGAGGGGGAAAAAAATTGAAACTTGTAGTGAAAGTTCGTCAGTTCATCCAGCAATTTACAACCTTCCAAAACTTCTAAGTGTAGCACTGCCTTGGTGGACTTCTTCATAAACTTCCTTCAATGTCTTCTCATGTAACAAATCCAGACTGTGCTTTAAACACTTCCAGCTCCACCCTGCTGGGTGCTACAGCTATTTTTATAAAAGGCCGTATAGTACCAGCCACTGTGTGGCATTTGTGGAAATGTGGGGTTTTGATCTGACAATAATTTGTGCTCTGTTTATTTTTGTCTACAGTCACAGTAAACCTTTAGGTGTGTTAAACAATAAGTTAAGACCTCCAATGTACAAGTGTGTTTGGATTCTTTAAGCAATACTGGAGACTGAATATGTGTTTGGGTTTCTCAGCACAGTTCATTGTGCACAGAGAGGTAATGCCTGCTAGCTGGAGGATTAGATCAGTCTGTCACATTTAGAATACATTCTATGTCTAATTGGAGAAATGCATCATAGACCACCCTCATACTTTGATATCTTTCTCTGCATTATATACAGACTGTAAAATGAAGAGGGGGTTTTGGCTTTGAGGTTTTTTTTTGTTTGGGTTGTTTGTTTGTTTTACTTTTTAAATACAGTACTAGACAAGCCAAATTACTCTGAGTAGGTTACAGAAATGAAGCACCTCCTTAGAGGGACTGTGGAGCACTTTGTCCAGCTTTTCCCATCTGTCCTGTTTCCAGTGTCCTTTGTTAGCCCTGTCTGACTAATACCTGTGCAGCATGCTGGGAGGCTTGCTGGCCTTCTGGCATCTGAACTGACATCTCAGCAATGGGGTGGCAGGGGCTCATAGTGATCCAGCTGGTGGAGCTGTGCCCAGGGAGCAGCCTGGCTCTCTGAACAGTTACAGCAGCCCCCTTCTGATCTGGGGCCTTAGTGTCATGCAGTTCTCCTTTTTATTCATTCACTGTGCATTTTCCTGGTTATGAGCCCATCATGACAAGAGGAACTGTATACCAGAAATTGCCATGAGATGCAGTAGTCTTCTTGTAACCCCTCTACCCTGTATAGTTAGGAAACATTTGAGTTTTTGTGCATGTTGTAGTATGACGTTTAAGCAGATGTTGAAACATGACAATGCTAATAAAAAGAAGTTGATGTGGCATAAGGAATTTTACTATGTAAACAAATAATCATGTTCTGTTTGAAAACAATTCCAGAGTATTTAAAAATATGAGTTAAAATTCAAGCAGCTTTTTTTTTTTTTCGAGTAAGCTGGCACAGCAGTGAAATAACCTACCTGGAACAGGAGGCCTGGACTAGCAGCATTTTACAGGCATCTTTAACACCTGCAGAGGTACTAGGTTTACTACCACTCTTAGCTGACCCAAGTGCAGCACTGTTTTCTCTCCACTTTTCAGGCAAGGCAAGTGGCTATTGCACTGTTCCCACATGGAATGTTACTTCTTTGCAAGTTCCCTCTCTAGAGGTATTCCTGCAGGAAGATAATGTTTATGGTGGTCTCAGGATTTTAGTCTCCCCTCAGCCCCCAAGTAGTCACTGCATTTGTCACTTGCACAGCTCCCTGATTTTATGATTGTGGGCCTTCAGATGGGTGCTTTTTAGGAGCCCATGATCTTAGATTCACTGTCCAGTCTGGACAGAGTTTTTCTGACAGGAGAGGAGGATACCAAAATATTTAAGATATTTGAAAACATAGAGCAACAACTACCATGGCAAGGACCATATGTGATCAGCTAACATGGTCCCAGGGGATAAAGCAACTATAATTCAATTTTATGTAGACCAGAAGGAATTTACCGGCTAAGCAAGCAGCTCTGCCCCACAAAAGCTTTGTTGTGGTGCATTCATGGTGTGCCCAGTTGAAAGCATATCCCAATAAACTTGTTCACCAAAGAATGTGCATAAATGCCTTGTTGAGTCAGCCTAGGAGAAAAAAACTGCTGATGGGAACAAGGTGTCTAGTCCTTCTTCCTCTTTGCAATCCTGCCACATCTTCTACAGCAACATAAGCAGCACTTGAAAAGAATGAAGACAATAGTGGCTGTACAGGTGAACAAGAATGCCAGAACATCCAGGGAGTGGTACTGGTACCAGGTGAGATGGTGAGCAGCTGGTCTCAAGTGCTTTGCTCCTTTGTGACGCATGACAAATTCAATCCAGAAGACAGCTCTGTCCAGGGGCTTAACAGGCTGGTCATGCTGTATCTTGGATAACTTTAGAGCATTCTCCTTATAGCTGGGGTTGAAAAAAAAAAAAAAAAAAGAGAGAGAGCAAACAAAGAGATTTTTCACTTATTTCTGAAATAAACCATTTAGCACCTGGCAGTCCTCTTGAGGAAGGTAGACAACCCTGCTTTTACTTTCATCAGTCTTATTTAAATATATTTGAAGCTGGTCCAGTTTATTCCTGTATGCATAAAATTGAGCTAAGCATAGTACTAGAGAAAGCCAATATTTTGCAAAAAAAAAAAAGTTACTCAAAATTATTCCAGATACTCCTTTAAAAAAAACCAACATGGAAGCATTTGCAGCATTTCTGTTCCAATATAATACAGTGTGCTGATTTAGGCTGGAATAGAGTTAACATTCTTCATAGTAGCTGGTATGGGCTGTTTTTTGGATTTGTGCTGGAAGCAGTATTGATAGAATAGGGATGTTTTCCTTACTGCTGAGCTTATACTGAGTCGAGGCCTTTTCTGTCTCCCACACTACTCTACCAGTGAGGAGGCTGGGGCTGCACAAGGAACTGGGAGGAGGCACAGGAAGGAAAGCTGTTCCAACTGACCTAAGGGGATTCCATACTCTATGGTGTCATGTTCGTGTACTAGCTGCCATCCAGGTTGTTGCAGATCACCTCCACTGTGGCTGACTCCCTCAGATACTAGATACCTCCATCAGTGCTGGTCCATTTACTTCAGGAATTTGCAGGTTCTTACTTGAAGGAACACCTGTCCTTCACACTGGATGGGAGTTGCTGCTAAAGATTGGGGACTTCGGTATTTTTCCAATCCCTTTGTGGTCTTATCCTTAGCAAGGGATCCCAGCTGCTGGATTTCCTTCTTTTCGAAGTCCTGACTGATAGGTACAGTAACTTAAGAATACTGCTAAGTCAGGGCTAGGAGAAAAAACTGTTATGACTACAGGCAGCTAAGACCTAATAAAACTAGAATTAGGTCCTCCAGAGGATTTACACCAGCAGAGAACTCTCAAAAGCTCCTCTGAGCTTTCCAATAACTATTTTTCTCAAAGCACTCATAAAATGTGGTATAAGGAAAACCAGATTACTGATCTCTCCTCTTTGAGAAGTGCTGATTCTCAGAAAGGAAAGATGGTTTTTATCTGAATTCTAACTTCAGCTACCCTGTGTTTTCCATTCCTAGAAGGACTAGCAAAATTTCTCACATGAGCAGCCCAGGATTTTAATTACCTCAGCCTACTGTAAGGCAAGAACAAAACTCACGTGGAATTGTAAATTACTGTCTTCAGTGCATCAGCCAGGTCCTCTGACGTCATTGTGTTGAAATCCACCTGAACTGCAGCTCCTTTTGCTACCATGTGAGCAAGGTTGTCGTGCTGGTCAGCAAACATGGGAATCCCAACCATTGGGATCCCGTGGTAGATTGCTTCATAGAGCCCATTAGTCCCACCGTGTGTAATAAAGGCTTTTGTCAAGGGATGGCCTGGAACAGAGAAGGAGAAGGGCGTGTTACAGCAGCTGTGGCAGGCTGCATTCACTGGGATGTGAACACAGCATAGAGGGGCCAGTGCACTGCTAGAGAAGGGAACGGCCTTGACCTCTGGATCAGCAGCAGAGCTTGCATGCGTAGCTTTCACATAGTCATAATTATTTGAAGAGAACATGTGAATCAGCACGTCCCTCCAGATTACCCCACGGTTACCTCAGCTCTACCATTATTGTGCAGTTGTAGTTTTCACAGTATCAGGGTCAGAACAGCCCCGTGCTTCAGCCTTGCTTAGGTCAAGCATTTTGAAGAATGAGTCCTGGAGATGAACTCCAGCGGCCAAATCCAACTCCAGAGTACATCTCTACTTTGGAATTTACTCCTGCCTATGGGTGCTTCTGAGCCCTTCAGACAACTGCCACCAAGCTCTGTAAGTCAGAGCCTTTTAGGAAACAAAGGCTCCCAAGAGCAAAGCTCTGTGGCTTAAACTGTGAAACTAAGTGTGTCTGCAAGCGTTACATGGTTTTGGCTAGAATTAACCATTCTAGAGGAAAGAAAAAAGGAAACAGTTTTTCCAAGTGTGCAATCCATCCCAAATAGAAACAGTCTTACCAAGCAGGTCATTTTGTGGTATCCAGTCAAAAATCCTGGTGTTGGAGCCCAGAGTTTCTGGTTTTTTCCCTTTGTACCGCCAGAGGACCTTGAACAAAGGAAGAATAAGATAAACATGCTGCATGTGATATGCTTTTCTGTATTATTACATGTCATTTACAGCTTTATCTCAAACCCATATACCTTTTTCCAGAATTTAGATAGCTTTGGCTGCAGTTGAACTCTTTAATTGGTTATTATGTGCTAATTATAAAAAATGCGTGGAGTGATTTTTGTATTTTGGCCTGTAGACACACCTCCATGTCATTTGGTTCAGAGGAGGTGAAACACCAGAACTATCCATGAAACAACTCAGCAGTCTTGTCTCTCTGAGAGAGCCCTGGCTGTATCACATCTAGCAGGGATGCAGGTAAAGAACAGGCCATTCCAAATATAAAAGGGAGTGAAAAAAAACCAAGACAACTTGTTTGAGGCTTGAAAAGAAATTCACCTTTTGTGGAAGCTGGCTGAGGGCTTTGGCAATCACATTACTCCTTTCATCACTTAGGCTGTGGACCATTGACCCAAGAGTGAATACGATGACACCATGTTCCCCTGAGCTCTGAACAAATTCTTCAATTTCCTAGGAGAGGCAGAAAACATACCAGGGGTAATTACACAATGTGGATTACACAGATTTCTGTGAATAGAGAGCATAACCTTTTCAGCTTATTAAGGAAATGATGGTGATATGAGCACCTCCTGACAGAAGGGATTGACAAAGACAGATCTGGCCCTGTGGAAAACAATCAGTTTCTCCCAAATGAGGAACAGGACAAGTTGAGAGAGGTGACAGATGCTTTGTCTTTTTGAAAGCAAGTTTCAGGATACATTTCAAGCAGCAGGAATGAATCCTGGTGTTATCATGTGCAGGCCATACATACTCTTGTGACACTCTCCTTAGCATGGTCTTGGTTCTGGATTTTCCTGGAACACGTACTTTGTATTACACAGCTCTGCTGAAACCTGAGAGGGTGTTTCAGCATCCTGATCACAGATTTACCAAGTTGGTGTTGTCACTTTGCTAGTCAGACAGTTCTCATTTCCTGCAACGCACCACATTACTCAAAACATTTTCTACAAATCAGACCTTTTTCCTGTTTTCCTGTTCCTGTTATTAGTTAGTATCATGTGAACTGGAGCAGTAACGTGCAAAAGGGAGTGGTTATTAATTTTTCCCAAGCTCAACTCATGCTACAGGGGACTGGGAAGAGAGTTAGAAGGTTTCTTTTAATAGACAACATGCACTGAAGATGGCCTATATCTTCCAAGACTCCTACAAGAATGATAATCTCCACCAGAGCTTGTCATGTTGTTATCTTCAGTATTTGGGAGTTTCAAATTCCACCTGAATACTGCAATTCACAGCAGAGCATAGGCTGGAGATGCTCAGTGCTTTACTCCCTTTAAGATTTCTTAAACTAAGGTACAATAGAAAAAGTGTTTATCACTCATGTATTTCTGCAAGTTTTGACCCTGTTTTACCTAAAGAATTTGTCCTGTCACAGTGCCTTCTGGCATCAAGTATTTCAATGTTATTATGGGCTGCAAGTCTGTGTCTTAGGATTAAATATTACATTTAAGTTCCCTGAGGTAGCACCTATTTTTTCCTAAAACAGACATGTATTACCCTGTGCTGACATCAGCTATCCTCTTTTTAAGACAGCAGGCTGTAAACCAGCCCTCCATTTGGACAAGTATGGATGGATGGTAAATAAGAATGAGCTTTCCCAGGAAAGCTGTTGGTTGTCCGGGAGAGAAACAGTCATTGTAACAAACCAGCCAACAGAAAAACTAGGCTGGGATACCTTTGGTAATGGTTTTGCAGGCTGGCAATGAAGTCCTCCAACAAACTCAAAGTTGGGCAGGAAAGGGCGTGGAAATTCGAAATCCCAGTATGTTCTGATTAACCAAATCTCTGCTTTTCCCATCGTCTCACACAGGGTTGTGGGCCTTCCTGTGGGCGAGGTACAAGAGGTTGACAACATGCATGGGAGTGACATTGTTTGCTCTGGATTGTGAAACAGGAGCCTTACCTTTGTCTTTTGGTACTCCCAATCAGCGTAGTTTATCAAACCATGCATAAAATGAAAACTCAACAAATCTGGATCTGTTCCTTGCCCTGTCCTGTGCTCAGCTTTAGCAGGTGGCCATGAGCACAAGGTACAATCCTTAAAAGGATTTTGAACCTTCATGATTACTTTAGAGAAATACAAGCGAGATGCATTTAGTATCTGATACAGAAGAGTAATTCTTGTAGGGCTGAATTATTACCTGAGCTTGTTACAAAAACACAGAGAACACTTGAGAAATAGAACAATCACAGAAGATTTAGTTCCAAATAAAAGATTAATCACAAAGTGATGATCACCTGTCGGGGAGGAGGAAAGTTTTTTAACAAAGTTCTGTAGCATTTTTTAAATGGTGACTCATTTAGCAGCTGCTGAGATAACAATAAAACACAGGTACAGGCATCTCTAGTATTCTTGAGGACTGGGTCAGCTGTTTCTGACACACATTGAGAAAAATTGGCCGACTCCTTAGATACTTTTAATGTCATTTTGTGCAAAATCCAATATTTCTAGAAATCCATCTGAAAAAAAATCTAATGGTAATCTGATGTTTTATAGTTTACCATTTGGAAATATATATATTCTTAGGTACACGTTGCAAGTTTTCTTTGCAGTATTTTCTCCACAAAGTGAAACTGGGGAGTAAAAGGGTTAGAAGTATTGATAAATAGTTTTGCAAAGCCAGCCTAATGCAAGCAGGAATCAACCTAAATAAGCAGCAAGGTAAAAATTAACCATAGGACATCTTCTTACACTACTTGATCAGTATAATAATCTACACCAGTAATTTTTTTATTTATATTTAAATTAAAGAGCAATGAGTCCGTTTTAAAGTTGCTGGAATGCAAATTAAATTTTCATTACAAGTGGAGTGATATAAAGATGTAATAAAATCTTTATGTGGTATTAAAAAATTAAATCCAGGGAAGAGGGACTAGTTTTCAGAGCACAAAGGTATTCTTTGCAATTGCAGGAAAAGATTGGACAGCAAAAGAAGAGATGCCCTTGTGTTTGCTGTTTACTCGTTATCTGCCTAAACTTAGATACCCTGGACAAGATTCAAAGTCCGTTGAACTAAAAGGAACTCTTTGTTAAATGTTGAGTCATGCCTGAGTTGTACTGTGTTGTAGCAAAATTTTCAGATATGTATGTAGTTTAAGGAGACTAATACAAACTCTGAATGGTGGATGAAAGGGAAAGGTGACAGCATTGTTGAGAACCTGAACTCACACCCAGCATCCTGCACTATGCAGAGTTGCAAGTTACTTCAGGATTGCCACCTCTGCTGCCCTTTGAGAAAGAGTATTTTGAGACGACAGCATGGTGGTCGCAAAGCGTTCAAAAGTCACAACCTATGCAAGAAAAGAAACCACTCAACAGCTGCCTTACCTAAGACATTACTGTAGTATCCGTCCACTTCATCTCGCCAAAACTTAATGAAAAATAAATCCGTGAAAATGTAAAAGAGGAAGTTCTGTAGTCTTTCCGTAAAGGACATCTGGTGTGTCAGCCCGGTTGTGCTGGCAGGCACATAGGAAGGTGGGGACGGGAGCCCACCGCACAGCCGCTCTACCACATTCCCGTCGGAAAAGCGGAAGCTGTAGACAAAAGGGATCTCGAGGATTTCTGCTACAAGCTCCCCACCTATAGACAGGGGGTCAGCAATCAGAACATCGAACTTGGCCTGCTGCAGCTTTGCTATCAGGTGAGTGTTCGTCAACAAGGTGTCACAGGTCTGCTTTGACATATTGGTAAAGACCTCCAGTTGCTCTTTGATCGTCCACATGATCTCCCAGGGGAAGCGATTAAAGGCTTCATTCATCCAGAAATTGAGGAAGTCGTCCATGAAGGCATCCAGGGTCTCCTGGCTAAAGGGGACTTGCAGGACCTCAAAAGTGAAAGGGGAGGAGGTGTCCTGGTAGTCGATGAGCAGATTGCTTGAGGGTACCAGCACAGTCACTTCATGACCCCGGAGAACAAGCTCTTGCAGAAGCACTTTCACATTGATCCAGTGACTGGCATCGGTGGGCCAGACCACCACCCTCCCACAAAAAACAGTGCTGCAGCAGCATGTGTAGGCCCAGAGCAGCCAGGGGAACTTTGTCCCAAACATCTCAGTATTCCACGTCCAACTCTGGCCTGACTATACTGGAGACTGAACTGGAAGCTGTTCACAATTTCACTGTGCAAATGTTTTAGAGCCAACCAATTAAAAGTGGCATTTGGTGGCTAGACTGGCAAACGTGACAAGATTGGCAAACGTGGCAAGAGGGAATGTCGTAACACAAAACAGCACTCATGGGAGGGCTGGGCAAGCAGCAAATTCCCTTCTGGAATGTCCTGCAGAGCCACAGCTGATTCAAAATTACAGCAGCTCCTATCTGCTCACCACAAAGTGTATTTTGCAGCATGTGAAGACTAGAAGCCTTTTCCCTGTGCTGTGGTTTAATCTTAATAGGCAGCTAGGCACCACCAAGCCTCTGAATCTCCCAGTAGGAGGAGAAAAGGAAGGGCAAAAGTTTAAAAACTCAGGGATTGAGACAGCCCTGACAAACCTCTCCCCCTATCTTTTATTTTGCTGAGCACAAAATCATTATGGGCTGGGGTATCCCTTGGGTGAGTTGGGGTCAGCTGTCCCAGCTGTGTTCACTCCCAACTTCTTGTACATCTCCAGCCCCCTCGCTGGTGGGGTGGGCTAAGAGGCAGAAAAGGCCTTGACACTGTAAGCACTGCTTAGCCATAATTAAAACATCCCTGTGGTATCGAAACTCTTTTCAGCAATCCACCATGCAGCCCATGCAAGCTAACAAAACAGGTATTTCACATGGAGCCTTAAATGCTAAACGCTGGAGTTCACAATAAAAAAAGACACCACAAGATTCAAACAGCTCTGGGGCTTACACAACAGACATCAAACCATGCTTCAGCCAGTGCAAGACTTTCTAGTCTCTGTCATCACAATATGATAAGCAACACAAGGGCACAGCTAGGTACTCTAAGAGTAGGATACCTTAACAACTTAGCTCTCTCAGCAGAATTACACCTTACTAGTGATATATAAATAAAAACAGTTTAAAGTCTCATATTGAAATAACCATTTTATCTCCGCCCTAGCAATGCATATGTCGCACCTGTTTCCTTTTAAGCATCACCTAGAGCAAAACTGGAAAAACAATTATACAACTGTTGTTTTTTTTTAATTAAAAACCACTTACAAATAAATATAACTGTAATGTTTTCAGACACTCAGAAAAGCAAAGAACCATGTCTCTGCAGAGGGCCTTTTATCACTGTGAATTGGGGCTCATCTAATCGCCCAGATTTTTAAAGGTCCAGAGAAGGATATTATCTCTAATTTTGAGACAAAGTAGCAAGTATGAAGTGTGCTATGGGAGAAAAAGTACTAGTGTTTGTTTGGTATATAGTATTTTACTGTTCTTAGTGTTTGCCATGATTCATCTATGAATATGACTAATGAGCCCTTTTTCAAGTGCTTTAGCACTGTTTTACATATCTTGGAAGTACTTGTACAGACTTAGCTCTACCACTGTAGCAGATCAGGATTAACAGGCAATGTTTGTACTTGCCTGGATTGCTTGACTTGATGCAGGAATTTTGAAGGAAGGAGAGTGAATTTGGGGCTGTCTTGCTCCTGATTTGTGCCTTAACCTCTCATCTCTGGGTATTTTGTGTGCACAGCATATGTAATTTCTGGAAAGAGAGCAGGCTTACCTAAAACTTCACTGTAGTATTGATCCCAGTTTGCCCAGAGAATGTAATGAAATACGAAATCATACAGAGCGTAGCCGAGGATGTTTTTTAGCCTTTGCCAGAAGGTCATCCTATCTGTTAGGCTGGTTAGGGTGGTTGGTACGTAGGAAGGAGGCGATGGGAGTGTTCCACAGAGCCGCTCCACCGTGTTGCCCATGGAGAACCGGAACGTATACACAAAGGGGATACCCAGCTTCTCAGCAACCAGCTCCCCGCTGGGAAATAGTGGGTCTGCCAAAAGGAGGTCGAAGGCAGATGCCCTCAGTCTTTCCATCAGGGCCTCATTCTTCACAGCTCCATCACAAATGGTTTTGGTTACGTTCTTCATCTGCAATAGCATTTGAACTACCTTGTAAGTACTTTTCCAGATAGGTAGCCCTCTCTCCTCATTAAAAAAAAAATAAAGCAGTTTATCCATTGCGTCAGTCATGTCCTTTTTGGTGATTGGCACCTCAATCACCTCAAACTGGAAGGGTGAGGGCTGGGTGGGATTGACGATGAGGAAGCACGAAGGCAGCAGCACGGTCACCTCGTGGCCCCGGGCCACCAGCTCCTGTAGTATGTGCTCCATGTTCAGCCAGTGGCTGTTGTCAGCTGGCCAGACCAACACCTTCCCCCCGGATCCCCAGCCCAACACAGCCAGCAGCACCAGCACTGCCACCTCCTTCCCTGCCATAGCCTGCCCTGTGTGGCAATGCCTCTGTGGCCTTCCTTCACCGGGAGCAGGGGCACTCCTGAACTGGGCTGGGCATGCATGACACTGCCTTGATCTCAAGGGCAGGGAGCCAAAGGTAGGCCGTGTGAAATCCTGGATAATAGCATGTTTAATGCCATGTTTTCCTAGGGCACAAAAAAGGTGATTGCCCCAGCTGGCACCCTCTGGTGGTAAACAGCTTGCTGAAGCTGGAAGATGTGATTCATGTGATTCCTCTGGAGCAACAGAGAGAGCCTTCAGCCCTGAGGGACTCAGTCCAGCAAGGCTTGTATCCTCTTGGTAATCCCGTCCCTCCTGCCCATATAACTACAGGTTCTGTGTTACTTGTTTGGTAGAAGAGATTACTTTTTCAGTCTTCTGGCTCTTTGAAACACAGCTGGGTGAGCAGCAGAGATGTTCACTGACTATGTGGGCAATTTTTGCTTTTATAAAGCTACTAAGCATTCCTTTAGAGCACACTTAAAGTGTTGATCCGGGGCTACAGCCCAAGACTTGCATCTCAAATGCAGGAAACTACACAGCAAATTATTCCAATATCAGAGTAAGACTATCCTCATGTGAACTTGCCTCTTACAGAGAGCACCGTGGGAGACCAGGAGCAGGTAGTGCAGGCTTCCTGCCTGCCACTAAGAGCCAATCATGCACTATAAATTGAACAAGAAAATCCATCAAACAGTTTAATTTATATGGTCCCTCCTGATGTGCAGTTACGAAATACTGTTAAGTTCTCTTTTATGTGCAAAAAATCATTATTACAGGGTTTCTGCCCAGTGCTGTTACACAACGGTTTCCTGATGTTGTCATCTGAGGCTTTTGGTATGGTTTGCATGCTGCCTAGACACCCTTTCTGGGACAAAAATGTGGGTCACGGAAACAGCTGGACTGTGAGGAGCCAAACTGAGATACCTCATGTACTGTACACATGACATCAGCTTGGTGTACTTGTGGAGTCTTGCATCATGCACGTATTTGCAGGCAATTGAACCCTGAGAGATTTGCAAGAGGTCTTTTTGAAGAGCTCAATGGGAAGGTAGTAGAAATGACACGTGATTACTAATAAACATGATTTTCTACCTGATCACTCAAAACAGTCCAGAAGAAAAGCCTGCAGAGAAAGGTTTGTTGTTTTCAGTTTGCTTTGTGGGTAGGAGTGTATGTTCTAAATAAAACTTGTTTTGTGCAGAGAGAATTGGTTCTATATGACCAGTGACATAAATGAAGTTTCTATTACAAAGCCACAATGCACTTCAATATTGCTACTGAGGGTGACAGGGCTGGCTTGTAATTCACCAGCTCTCCCCTCCTTGTTATGTTCCTCTGGATGAGGAAGATGGCTCTGTTCTTGGCTGCTTTCTGTGCTAGCAGTCACCCTTGCTGAGCGCCCTGTATGGTGTGGAAGTCATATCAAACTCCACACTACAGTTATGACAAAAGCCAAATCCATCAATTGGAATGACCCTGATCCTGTCTCTATGCAATGGCATAGCAGCACAGCACCCTGACTGCTTGTGGTTCAGCTCCTTTTTAGGGACACAGTGGCAAACTCTTGCTGACCCTTCTCTTGACTTTGCGACCCTGGTGGGTTCCTAGCTCTGCAGATCGTAAGGACAGACTGTATAACGAGAAGTGAAGTATCAGAAGGCTTACCTAAGACCTTGCTGAAGTAGGAATCCCAATGTCCCCAGTAGCTCCGGAAAACATAGTCTTGCAGGTGGTAAGACACAAAGTTTTTTACTCTCTCCCCAAAAGACATGCGGTCAGTGAGCTCAGACAGGGCTGCAGGCGTGTAGGATGGTGGGGCAGGGATCTTGCCACAGTGCCTTTCCAGAGTGAAGGCTGGGGAGAAACGTAGCGAGTAGACAAAGGGAATGTCCAGCTTGAGAGCCAGGAGTTCCCCACAGGGGGTCACTGCATCTGACAGCAGCAGGTCAAAGCCAGAGCCCTGCAGACGAGCCATCAGCTCCTGGTTGGTCAGCACTGCGTCGCACAGCATCTTGTTCATCTCCTGCCAGCCTACAGACAGTCTTCCCAGCTCCTTGTAAAACTGCCAGAAGGTCAAGATGGTTGGCCTGTTGTTGAGCCATAGATCCACTATTTCATTAAGCAGAGTCTCGGGTAAATCTTTCCCATAGGGCACATTATAGATCTCAAACTTCTCCGTACTCTTCGGCTTGGGTTCAATGAAGAGGGTAGTGTTGGGTACCAGGATGGTAAAGCTGTGCCCACGGCGGATGAGCTCCTGTACCATTACATTCATGTTCATCCAGTGGCTGCCTTCTGTTGGCCAAACCAGTATCTTCCCACAGAAGACAGGCCCTAGAAGGGCAACCTGAAAAAGGAGCAGCTGGAGGTATTTCTTTGAGCCGTTTGTTTTCATGGCCATGGCAGAGTCAAGGGCTAGATAGCCTGGGAATTTTCCCTTCCAGTTGGGAGTTCTGCACCTCTGTTCTGCACCTCTGTTTGATGGCTCCTTACTAGCACTCTTAGCAGAAGTGAGACTTTGCTGTTGCACAGGTAGTGTCTTTATAACCTGTGTTTCATCTGAGCTCTGAAAAAAACAAATGTTTGGTGATTCATTTTTCCCTTTCTGCCTTCTACCCTGTTAGCTTCCCACTGAGGGAGTTCTATTCTCCTTTTAGAAGGATGACAGCAATCCTCCCTGCTGTCAAAAGAGCCAGTTCCCTGGATATCAGCCCTGAGACTCAAACAAATCCCTTGCATTTTTTTTCATGAACTAGCAATGCCAGAGGAAGGCCAAGGAATAAAAGGCCACAGGGCTGACTTGAAAGCGTCATCCTTTTTCACAATGAGATGCTAAAAGTGTTGATATTTCTTATGCTGAGAGAAGTCAATGAATCCTTCCTTTGGTTGATGATAATGCCAATAATAACATGCAATCTGTTCTAATAGGTCACTGGTAGCTTCCAACTAATCCCAGACAACAATGGACAGTGAGTCCATTGCTACTGCCTGTGATACATGACCACCAACCTGATCATGTTGTGGGCTCAGTTCAGGTGGTCTGGGCCTCTTCTGGGCCCTAAAGGTGCTAAAGAGGAAAACCTACATCATCTGGGATAGCTCTGACTTGGAAAATTGTCTCTTGAATATAAACACCATGCCTGGAAGCAGTTCTTTAACCACCTGGAACCAAAATTACAACTAAAACCCACAAATACAATTATACACTTGATCCAACACAATTTGGGGAACAAATGTCATGCAGCAAAAAACTCTTACCTAGCAGAGTCTTCCGAGGTACATGAACATTGTGCTCTGACTTGCAAGGTGCAATATGCTACACCTGTTTGCTGCCTTTCCTTGCTGCTCCCCTCCCCTGTGCCTCTGGGCTGCCCCAGCAGGATTGGCTATCAGGCAGAAGGAGCTTAAGTAAGTTAGCCTCTGAACTGGACTTTTCAAAAGGAGGAAGTAATAAAATACGGGATGATGGCAACAAGGCGTATTCTGCACTTTTTCATTGCTTTGTTATGCTCTAGGAATTTAATGGCTGAGGTGATATTTCCCTTGCCAGGATATACTATAATGTTATTACAGAGCCAGGTTCTTAGGAAGACTTTGTATGCTAGAGATAAGAAATATGGTGTCTGACTGCTAAAAATACTTTTTTACTCCCTTTAGGGTCCCAGGTGGCAAACAAAATTGTTTATTACATAGTAGATATGTTTATAAACTGTCCACAGGATCAAAGAGTGAATCTTGTGGTTTGCTTGCAGAGGTTTTCAAAAGTTGGTGCTGTCTGTGTGAGTTTCCAAAAGTTGGTATGTTACCTGTGTTGGCTCTGTGGCCCTTGATTCTGGAGATCTAGGCAAGTGTTTAATCACCTATATGAAAATATAGGAATCTAAATGTGCGTTTCAATGATTTTTAAGTACTGTCCATAATATTCAACAGGGTTTTTTCTCAACCCTCAGAATCCAGGACTATTATGCCAGCATGTTTCAACCATAATTTGGCCTTACAGCCAGAAGTTTCACTACAGTCTCTCCACAGACCTTTGTATCCAGAGTAAGACTTTTTTTCAGGTTAATTTAGCTTATTTTATGAAGTCCCATAAGAAACTTCTAGATTTCCCAGCAACTATTGAAAGGCCATGTTCATATGGGCTAGAGCAGATCATAGAACCATAGAATATCTTGAGCTGGAAGGGACCCACAAGGATCACTGAAGTCCAACTCCTGCCCCTGCAGAGGACAGCCCCAAGAATCACACCATGCCTGAGAGCATTGTCCAAATGCTTCTTGAACTCCCTCAGGTTTGGTGCTGTGACCACTTCCCTGGATAAAAACTTAGATAGGAACTTGTTTTTTTGTTTCCAACCCCTTAGTATCCAATTCCTCCACAGCATATGAGAGCAATTGCTAGGGGAACCAAAGAGTTTAAATTGTCTTGTTTCCATGGCCAGCTCTAAAGATGATTCTCAAATGACTCAGATCAGAGAAGACAAGCATTTTGAGAGGATTAAAGTACAAAATCCAGGTCTTGAGAGAGAAATGAGGCAGAAGAAAGTAGATGGTGTTAAATGTCTGTATTTCACGCATTTGACATTACTAAGAGAAGAGCTGCAGAGAGTGATGCAACCCCCAGCCTTGTTAAAAAACAACAGGCTTTTCAAGGCTAAGGCCCTCATGCAAAAGTTAGGCAATGCATACTGATGTTTTCCACACACGGGTCTCTTCACCATTGTGCTGGCTGGCTGGCTGGGGGCTGCAGTGTGCGTGGCACTTTGATTTCTAGGAAACCTCCATGCCAGCCAGCACCTCAGAAATTCAGGGCCAGGGTGGAAAAGGGAAGCTTTTGCCCTGAAGAAGCACCAAATGACTCTGTGCTTTCCCTTTCACTTAACGCAATGAAGCAGCTTCTGGTCTGAAAGCAGACTTTAAAAAGTCTTCACTAGGCTGGAGTGTTCTTTGGGGGGTGGGGTGGGTTGGCAAGGAGAAGGGACTATACTACATTGGGAAAATTTCAAAGTTGGCTCATCCCTACAGGCAGAGGTGACAGAATTGAGCAATTCTGCAAAGTCACATGCATGCACTCAGTAAAAACACATGTGCTTTGTAATCCCCGGGGTATGGGGAAACTCCAGCAAAAGTTAATGAGATGAAATAGCCTCAGCATGACCATCTTTCTTGAATAAATTGTATCTTTTCTACTCTGCACTGTTACTGCAGGATGAAAAAACCAGGGTAGGTTTATAGCATTGCACTTGGATTTTTTGATTAATTTTAAGATTCTGAACTCTCTTTTTGCTGCTGTAATCCTGCAGGGGCACCTTGGCAGGTAAACAGTGGAAATCAGGGTGGCTGGCACAGGAGCCATTTCCACTCTGCAAAGCCAAAACATTAAAGAAATGAGAGAAGGTTAAGGCCAAGCTTGGTGTCCCTGCTAGGAGTCTGCATTGTTGTGGAAGAATAGGTGCTGCACCCTCTCCTCATCAGTGAGGAGCAGCAGCAGACTTGCCCAAGCTCCCTGCAGATGTGGCACACTCCTGTCTTGCCAGCATCTGTCCAACCTCCCAGGGAAAGCTGCATGCTATGGTGATGGGCAAATCTGCAAATCCCATGGGTATGGACATGATGAGACTCATCTAGACCAGCCCAAAAAGGAGGAGTTGCTCTCTCCATTCCACCTTTTCATGAAAGTTTGCTGTTCGTGCTCCCATGGCAAGCCTTTCCCCGTGACTTTCCCAGTCGTCCTGCCGATCGTTTGTTTTAGTGGGAGAGTTTGCTGCTGGAGCAGGAAGGAGCTAGGCAAAGACCAGGCAGGCTGCAATGGCCAGGGCAGCCTGGTCACCAGGCACTGTTCCTGCCCTGGGAGCAGCAGTGACAGCACCAGAGGGCACCGCGGCCATCACTGCACCCACTGCTGGGAACAGGGGTCCCAACTGCAGGGACAGGAGCACACCCAGAGCCCCAGCAAGGACAGGGGTGCCAACAGCGTGCCAGCATCACCCAGAGCAAGCACTTCCTCCCTTGTCTCAGTACCCCTGAGGAGCAGGGAACTGGAACTGAACACTGCCCTCGCCTCCCTCTCACCATCCCTGGGGATATTGCAGGAGACCTCAGAGCAGGGGAAGGTTTAGGGGTGCTGATTGCATTCCAAAGTACCCCAAACCCACCACCCAGGACCCCCACACATGCAGCTCTGTGCAGTTGAGCATGGGCAGAGCACCCAGGAACACCCGTCTCACCTAATACCTGCTGCTCTGCGCCGGGAGAGTGACGCTGGGATGGTGACACCAGCAGGGTGACAACGGGAGGGTGACAGCAGCAGTTTTTAAGGGCAGAGAGGAAGGGCGCTGAGGGCAGTAATGTTTACCAATGCCGTGGCTGCAGGGAGGGAGGAGCAAGTGCAGGGAGAAACCAGCAGCCACTGACCTGCAGGCAGAGCCACAGAGGACATATCAGCCCCAGGAGTACTGCTCTTCCCCACAGGTCCCAGGCCACATCCCACAGTGTGAGGTGGGGGAGGAACCCAATGTGTTCCCCAAATGCAGTTTGGTCAAAAACTTCTGCAATCCTGTGAGCTGCTGATGGCAATTCTCCCACCACAGCAGCTGAGGGGTGACACCTGCTTGTCCCCAGCCTAGGAAGTGAACAGCAGCCCCAGGGGCACAGCTGGGTTGGGAGCAGCAGAGGATCAGGACAGTGAGCACCCCATGGCAGGGTCAAGAAGCGCATTTTATTTCTCTCCAGCAGTTCCAGGGGATAGGAAGGAATGGCAGCAATGCCACCGCAGCACAGGGTGGATTTGGGGGATGTCTGGCAGTGTCCCCTCAGATCTGAGTGCGGAAGCACAGGTCGGTGCCTGACATCTTCTGCGCATAGTCCTGCTCAAAGCGCTCGTTCTGGGCCACGGTGAAGTGGTTCTTCCAGTCTCCGGTGGTGCCTGAGGCCGGGCGAGATGGGGCTCAGCAGGGCCGGGGCACACAGTGCTCCAGAAGCCCCCGCAGCCGCTCACCTTTGCGCATGAAGGGCGACACGCTCTGGTCCATGATGTCAGAGGGCACCCTGGTGTAGTTGGTGGCGGGGTTGTCCCTCATGGCCTCGAAGGACGTGTGTTGGGTGATGGTGTCCAGCGCCGCATCCGACAGCTTCTGCCCCAGGAACTGGGCCACCTTGGCAACCTCCCGGCGGAGGTCCTGCGCGACACAGGCCAACACTCACCCCTCCTGCCACCCCCAGCTCCCACACCACCATCCCCCCTGCCCCATCACCTCCTTCAAGTCCTCGTAGAAGAGGTAGAGAATGGGGTGATCCTTCCTGCGCTCCCAGTAGCCCTTGACGTGGTCGTACCAGGAACCATACGCCACTGCATGGGGAGAGCAGTCAGGAGGTGAGAGTCCCCTGCAGGGTCCCCTGCATGCACTCAGGGGTGCCCTGTCCCACCTCTGCCAGCCATGAACTCCTCCAGGTACTGGGCCCATGTTCCAGGGTGCGGCAGCAACTTGTTCATCAAATCAAAGTGGTAGTAGGAGACAGCCACATCCTTGGCGTTGCGTCCCACATAGATCATCTGCAGATGGCCATGGACGTATGAGGGACAGCCCCAGGACCCCCAACAGGGAGGACACTCCAGCTCCTAGCACTACCATGAACACTTAAGGTGCCGGAGGGAGCAGTGGAGATTCCTGTCTCAGGGGAACAGGGCTGCTGCAATTCCCTCCAGGGCAGGGACAAATGTTGGGTGTTACCTTGCAGTGGTTTTCCCAGAAGGATTTGGGCAGGATATGTACTGGCAGGTGAGTCTTCACCACGCGGGGTGAGGCCATGGTGGCCAGTAGGTCTGCTCCTGAGGGATCCCAGAGCACTTCCTCAGTGGGCCCTTGGCAAAGGCCCTTGGGACTCAGCCCCTGTGGGGTCCCCCTGCACCTCACTACCTGCTGTCATCTTCCCAGGGGCAGCGAACTCCAGCATGGGCACTCTCTTGCTGATAATGTCCCGCTTGCACTTCTCAGGATCTCCGCCTTGCAGGATCATATCCACAATCTCGGTGACCCAGGTGGTGCCTGGGGAAAGGAACCCATAAAGGGGAGCAGCCAGGGCAGCATCGGGTGTCTCAGCAGTGATAATCCCTCAGACCTCAGACATTGGGGAAAAGGGAAATCCTACACTCTGTCCTGACAGCCCCTAAATGTGCTGCATACCCTGAGGCAGGTGGTCTCAGCTGAACAACTCACTTGCCCACCCAGTACCAGCCCATCTGGTTGCCTTGGGGATGCTCACCAGATTTGGGGTAGGTGACCACCACGATGTCCTCGGGGCGGCTCTGGAAACTGTCAACCCGTTCCCAGTTGTGGGCAAAGGCATTGACCATGGGGATGCCGTGCACTGTGAGCCAGGGCTGCCGCAGGTAGGTGTCGGAATCGGCCATCCTGCTGGGGACAGGGACGTGTGGCAGGGCTGGCTGAGGAGGGGAGGCTCCCCACACCCTGTCAGTGCAGCCACCAGCCAGGGCAGCCTGGTCACCTGGCACTGTGCCTGCTCAGGGAACGGCAGCGATAGCACCAGAGCACAGACCAGAGGTCACCGCGGCCTTCGCTGCACCCACTGCTGGGAACAGGGGTCCCAACTGCAGGGACAGGAGCACACCCAGAGCCCCAGCAAGGACAGGGGTGCCAACAGCGTGCCAGCATCACCCAGACCCAGGGGACTAGACTAGAACAGCACCTCTTCCCTTGCCTCAGCACCCCTGGAGAGCAGGGAACTGGGTCCCTGGGGATACTACAGGGGACCACAGGTCAGGGGAAGGTGTGGGGCTGCTGGTTGCACACAAACCCAAAATGCCCCAAACCCACCACCCTGGACCCTGCAGCATGCAGCTCCGAGTGACTGAGCATGGGCAGAGCACCCACAGGGCACCCCAGCACACCCGTCTCACCTAATGACCTGCTGCTCTGTACCGGGAGAGTGATGCCGGGACGGTGACTCCAGGAGGGTGACAGCAGAGGACAGAGAGATTCGGGGCCACCCTCGCAGCGGTAATTGTGGGAAGGAGAAGGAAAGAGGCAGGGCGCTGAGGGCAGTAATATTTGCCAGCCCAGCAGCTGCGGGGAGGGAGGAGCAAGTGCAGGGAGAAACCAGCAGCCACTGACCTGCAGGCAGGGTCACAGAGGACATCTCAGCCCCACAGGTCCCAGGCCACATCCCACAGTGTGAGGGGGGGGAGGAGACCTCTCACTGCCCACACCCACTCAACGTGCTCCCCATACACAGATTTGCCAAAACCTTCTGCAATCCCATGAGCTGCTGATGGCAATTCTCCCACCACAGCAGCTGAGGGTGTCCCTAACCCATGAAGAGGACAGCAGCCCCAGGGGTACAGCTGGGATCAGCTGGGATCAGCAGAGGATCAGGACAGTGAGCACCCCATGGCAGGGTCAAGAAGCGCATTTTATTTCTCTCCAGCAGTTCCAGGGGATAGGAAGGAATGGCAGCAATGCCACCGCAGCACAGGAAGGATGTGGGGGATGTCTGGCAGTGTCCCCTCAGATCTGAGTGCGGAAGCACAGGTCGGTGCCTGACATCTTCTGCGCATAGTCCTGCTCAAAGCGCTCGTTCTGGGCCACGGTGAAGTGGTTCTTCCAGTCTCCGGTGGTACCTGAGGCCGGGCGAGATGGGGCTCAGCAGGGCCGGGGCACACAGTGCTCCAGAAGCCCCCGCAGCCGCTCACCTTTGCGCATGAAGGGCGACACGCTCTGGTCCATGATGTCAGAGGGCATCCTGGTGTAGTTGGTGGCGGGGTTGTCCCGCATGGCCTCGAAGGACGTGTGTTGGGTGATGGTGTCCAGCGCCGCATCCGACAGCTTCTGCCCCAGGAACTGGGCCACCTTGGCAACCTCCCGGCGGAGGTCCTGCGCGACACAGGCCAACACTCACCCCTCCTGCCACCCCCAGCTCCCACACCACCATCCCCCCTGCCCCATCACCTCCTTCAAGTCCTCGTAGAAGAGGTAGAGAATGGGGTGATCCTTCCTGCGCTCCCAGTAGCCCTTGACGTGGTCGTACCAGGAACCATACGCCACTGCATGGGGAGAGCAGTCAGGAGGTGAGAGTCCCCTGCAGGGTCCCCTGCATGCACTCAGGGGTGCCCTGTCCCACCTCTGCCAGCCATGAACTCCTCCAGGTACTGGGCCCATGTTCCAGGGTGTGGGTGGAACTTGTTCATCAAATCAAAGTGGTAGTAGGAGACAGCCACATCCTTGGCGTTGCGTCCCACATAGATCATCTGCAGAAAGATTGGTGGCATGTGGGGACTTGCAAGGTCCCAAGGGGGCAGGGAGCCCCCTTATGTCTGCTGGATTCCTCCAAGTATGTTCTTTCCAGCCTGTTACCTTGCAGCGGTTTTGCCAGAAGGATTTGGGCAAGATGTGAGCTGGAATGTGGGTCTTGATGATACGAGGGGATGGCATGGCCTCCAACTGGTCTGTGCCTGTAAGGATTTCCCCCAGAAGTGATCCCACTGTGATGCCCTCCCACACAAAACCAAACCTCTCCCCATCCAGCACTCACTGCTACCCACCACCCTCTGCCACCCCATTACCTGCTGGTAACTTCCCAGGAGCAGCACACTCCATCATGGGCACCCGGTTCACAATGTCAGCCTCCTTGCATTTTTGTGGGTCACCGCCTTTCAGGACCATGTCCACGATCTCACTGACCCAGGTGGTGCCTGGTGGGGAGAGGTTGGGTGTCCAGCTGATGCCATTCCCACTGGAGGCCCATCTCAGGCACCAGAGGATCACCATCTACCAGTGTTGCCTTTTGGCACACCTCCAGTGCCAGCCCAGGCACCTGCAGCATGGGCTACCTGACTGAGCCTGGCCCTCCTTTGCTGCCTGGGGATGCTCACCAGATTTGGGGTAGGTGACCACCACGATGTCCTCGGGGCGGCTCTGGAAACTGTCAACCCGTTCCCAGTTGAGGGCGAAGGCATTGACCATGGGGATGCCGTGCACGGTGCGCCAGGGCTGCCGCAGGTAGGTGTCGGAATCGGCCATCCTGCTGGGGACAGGGACGTGTGGCAGGGCTGGCTGGCAGCGAGGAACATCATGGGGCTTCCCTGAGGGCCCCAAAATCCCTGCGGAACCCAGCCATCCTGGCCATAGGAAGGAAACCATGCCCTGCTTGCTGGCATTGGAGGAGGTGGCACCTGTTTTCTGTGGGGATTTTGTGGCCCAGAGGGCAGTGCAGGGCGAGTGGGAGGGCAGCTCTGGGGGCTCAGGTCACACGGGCAGCGGGCAGCTGCCCTACCAAGCTGGTAGTGCTCTTCCTGGGCGTAAAAATTCGCAGGCATTCCTCCTGGCTGGAGTTGCAGGCTGCTTTCTCTTTGCTTTTTCCTCCCCATCTCCCTGTCATAGGACAGCACGGGGGGAAGCCTTGCTTTCAGGGGGCTTGAGTGAGGGCTTGACAGAGACAGGAACGAGGAGCAGAACTCACAGGACTCTCTCCCTAGGAAGCCTTTCCACCCACGGCCCAGGACAGAAACGCTGGGCATGCCATTGACAAAACCCCCACGCTGTGACTTTTGTTTGGTGTCCTGCTTCCATCTCCCGGGGGCTTGCGGGGACACGGCGTCCCCGCACCCACCCCCGCCCATGAGGCCGGGGCACCCCGAAACGCCGGCGGCCAAAGCCCCCCGCTACTTGCCTCTTTTCCTGGTGCTCTGACGGGGGGCAGGCAAAGCTTGGCCCGCCGCGTACGGGGCGGGATTTGTTAATTTCCTTCCCCTGCCTGGAAAATGGAGGCGCCGGGGGCACCGCTGGGACAGGAGGCTGGAGCCGGCTGGTCCCGGTGCTGCGGTGGGAGGAGTGCAGGGAAGGGGATGAGGACGGTCCCCAAACGCCTGTGATGAGCTGGCCGTGCTCAGCGACCGTCGGGACGCACACGGGCAGCGGGAGTGGAAATCACAGCTCCCCCCTCCTCCCGCTGAAGTAAACACAGGGAGGAAATCCCAACCCACATCCCGGGACATTGAACATCAGCCTGTCCTGGTCCAAGAGTCACCTGCGTGGACGTCCCCAGCTCCTCGCACCGACGTGGGGCTTGCGGGCGGGATGTGGGCTTCAGGCTTTGGGCATACCCGTACTCCACTCAAATACGGGTCCAAAGTTTGCGGGGTTGCAAAGCACAAGTGCTCCTGGGAAAAGTGTTTAATGGTGCCGATGGTGGGGAAATGTTCCTCTTTACCTTAGCTGGGAGGGAGTGGGAAGGGCAGGAGAGATGGCAGCTGGGCAGGGCCAGCAGCTGATCTGTCAGCAGCCTTGAGAAAAATGTCCCTGATTTATCTCCAGGGCCAAGTTCCTGCTGATGCATGCCACGGCAGGTGTTCAGGTGTTTTGCTGTCCATGTGCCAGCAAAATTGGCAGCATGTGCAAACAGGGCAGGCAAAGCCAGGAGCTGAGGAAGCACATCTTCCAGTGGAAGGCATCTCCACTGGAGATGGCATCATGGCATTTAAATGAATGTGTGAAAATGATTTATTTCTGTGAGGCAGGTCCCCTCATAGCGCTGCTGCTCTTTAGCAGTTGGATCTGGGCTGCATCTCTTTCAGGATAGAACAACCCATGAGGCTGTCTTGCCAAGAAGCTGCAGTCTTGGAAACTGAAGAACCAGCCAGAAATGGGGTGCAAATGGGGAACTTGGGGCTCCAAAGCATACCCCTGCCCCCCATGGGACAGGGATTTGTTTGCTCCAGGCATCCCAGAGCAAGGGCAAGGTGCAGCCAGGTTATAAGGCTGAAAGGTGTGCTCTTTATCCAGCAAGGACAGTGATAGTGCTGAGCCTGGCCACATACCAGCAGGGAGCTGTTTCCCTTCACCTTTGTTCCACAGACCATGGGTTGGTAAGCTCCAGCTGGGCCAAGGAAAGCCTGACCACCACCCACTCTGTCAAGAAACTTGCCACAACCCAGAGGCATGAAGGCTCCTGTGCACACAAGGGCTGTGGCAGCACTGGACTCACTGTTACTCCGGGGATTTTCCACTCATTGTCAATCTTTGTTCCCTCCAAGCACCTTGGTAGGCTGGGGCAGCCCAAGATGACAGGGGCCAGTGGTGGTTTCTGGGAAGGTGCCCACTCCTGGTGATGCCTGACCATCACTAAGTAAAAATCCACTGTGTGCCCACCCTCTCTCCTGAAGGTGTTCCCGGACACTGCCTAGAGTTCAGGGGGTTCAAGCCCCACCCTCATTTTCCCTGCAGGCAAGGACTCAACCTCCATTTATCACAATTTATTGCAGGGGGAAAAGTGAATCAGTGCAAGAATCTCCATCTGGATCCATCCTCCCCACTGGGAAAGCAAGGGGAAGCACAGTCCTCCTGGGAAGGGAGATGAGCCCCTCACACTTCCATCTGGAAGTGGAGGTCAGAGCCTGCCATGAGCTTCTGGTAGTGCTGGTCGAAGCGCTCGTTCTGGGCCACAGTGAAGTGGTTCTTCCAGTCTCCAGCAGTCCCTGGGGGCAAGAAAGTAACTGGGGTAAATCCTCACACACATGACATATTTGCAGCCACAGATGGGGGCTGAAATACAATCCAGGGACATCCCTCCCAAATCCTCTACCACCAGCCGAACCCACACCTTTCCGGAGGAAGGGGGAGATGCTGTGATCCATCAAGGCGGGGAGTATGGTCTCATAGTTGGCAGCAGGATTCTTCTTCATCTCCTGGAAGGAGGTGTGGTGCAGGATCCTATCCACTGTTCCCTCTGCCAACTCTTTGCCCAGGAACTGCAAGATCTTCTGTATCTCCTGCCGTGGGTCCTGCAGGGTGATTGACATGAGGAGGCTGCCAAAAAAGCTGGGGAGCAACCAGGGCTCCTTCCCCTACATCCCACCCTCACCTTCTTCATGTCCTCATAGAAGAGGTAGAGTATCTTCTTCTCCTTCTTCTTCTCCCACCATCCACGCACATGGTCATACCAGGATCCATAGGGCACTGTGGGATATGGTCAAGGGATTAGCTGAAAAGAGGGGTAGAGGGGGATGATGTCCTTCCCACAGGGAGGGCAGGGTGGGCACCCTTTGGCTCAGCTCACACCTTTGCCAGCCATGAAGTTCTCCAAGAACTCAGCCTTCGTGCCAGGGTCTTGGTGTATCTTAGCCATCTGGTGGAAGTAGTAGTAGGAGATGGCAACATCCTTGGGGTTGCGAGCCATGTAGATAATCTGGAGAAAGCCAAGGATGTGTTTGGGAGGTACAGAGTGGTGCGTCCTCCCCACCAACCCAGATGGGGAGAGAGACAGAGAGCACCTGCCATGTTACCTTGCAGTCCTTCTCCCAAAAGGAGGTCGGGAGAAGCTGGACTGGGAGATGGGTCTTTACCAGCCGCGGGGATGGGTTTTTCTCCAGCTGCTCAATGCCTGTGGCACAGAGGACTTAGAGGTGTGAGCCCCAGCACCCTCACCCCCATGCTGGTTCTGTTCCCTCTCCACCCAAGCCAGGCAGCCAGGCTGGGGAAGCTCACCACTCATTTCCTTGGGGGCCTTCAACTCCAGGAAGGGCACGCGGTTGTAGATGGCGTCCCGCCGGCACTTCTCCACGTCACCATCATGGTAGATCATGTCCATGATCTCGCTCAGCCATGTTGTGCCTGCCGCACAGGGACAGCATTGCAAAGGCTGGTGTCACCCCATCCCCCCTGCACCCTTCCTCAGGACCACTCACCCGATTTGGGGTAGGTGGAGATGAGCAGGTCATCTGGACGGGCTTGGAAAGCCTTCACCTGTGGCCAGCCCTCGATGAAGCTCTTGTAAAGGGGGATGCCATGGAGCATTCCCAGCTCCTGCCTGATTTCATCTTCCAGCCCCATGGCTGACAGTGGGTCCACACAGCACTGGCTGTCTTCCCTGCTGGCAGCTGCACAACCTCCGAACTGGCTGGCACCTGTGCCAGGACTGTACCTGGGGCAGTACTGGATCCTGTGCCAGGACTGTGCCCAGGGCAGTGCCCCATCAGGCAAAGTCCAGCCCAAATCACATGTGGCAGAGGTATTGCCAGTGCCATGGGAGTATGCCCTGATCCCTGGTAGGATACTTCAGTAACGTGGATGCTGACCAAGCACTAAGCCCAGGCCATGTGGGGTTGGGAATGGAGCCCAGCATCACCTCTCCTCCCACCTGTCTGCACTTCTCGCCCAGCTACAGCCCCTGTAATGAGTGCCACGGGGTTGTGGAGGTGCAGAGACAGTTCTGCTACCCAGGGCCCCCACTGCAGCTATACCTTTCAGGATTCCATGCACTCTGGTGCCCAGGAGCCCTGGCACCTCCACCCTCCTGCCCTCTCTGCCCTCCTGAGTGCTCCTTTGATGCCTCTTGTAGGAAAGGGATGAATTAACTGATCTGCTGCATCCTGGATGATCTGATCCAGCTGGTTGTGCAGTATAGGAACCCACCGTGATGGAGCAGGTGGTGCTCTCGCTCCAGGAGATCTAGGAGAAGCAGAGGCCAAGGGGTGCCTGACCCAGGCCAGGTCATGGGGTCTCTGGGAAAGGAGGCACCAATGCAGGATAGAGCATCTGGACCATTTGCAGAAATAGTCTCACAACTCTGACCTTCTGTGTCCAGTGAGGGAGTTGGAAGACAGTAAACAGGTCTGTTACCCTGACAAAAAAATACATGTAACATTTTCATAGGATGATGAGGAAATAACATGATAACCTTTATTTAAAATTCAAATACAGATGATGAACAGGGTCAGCAAACTGCTACCAAAAAAGTGCCATATATGGTGACCATGGTATCAAAGTTCCAGGAAAAGTCCGGCAGACATACATGGGATGGAAACACACAGGGTGACCCCCATGACAGAGAATCAGGAAAAGATGATTCTTTATCTCCTCCAACTCCCCCTGAATCTACTAGATCTCAGGATGGAGAGGAAAATCACACACAAATAACTATCCCATTTGATCCAATTCAGGTGGCTGATTTTCAAGAGAATTTTGGCCATAAACCAGGTGATACTGAAATCCAGCAACTGGAATTCTATCAGTGCAGACACAATAATGGCCCACACATTCAGATTCCAGTAGATTCTCATCAACAATTAATTGCTAACACCATTGAAACACTCCAGGATAATGTGTCTCTTGGCTCTTGGCTGTATTCAAGCCAGTTGTGGGTGCAGTACGTGACAGCTGCTATCACATGGGAAGGTGAAGATGGTGCTCCCTTCCCCTTAAGGGTGGGATGCCACAGTGGGCTCCAATGCCCCCACACCTCCAGCGCACACTGAGATCCCCCGGCACAGCCAGAGAGACCCACCATGGTTGAAGCCCAGGGCCCAGCACCCCCCCTCAGGTGCTCCAGCTTTACTGGTGCAGTTACAAAGGAAAGCACTTTGGGGTCTGGCCCTGCGACAGCCCCTCTGCACAGCCTGGCAGTGCCCAGCCTGTTCCTGGCACAGTGGCATAAGAGCTGTGCATGCCAGCTCCCGGCTCCCTGGATTTCCCAGCAGCCAGAAACTGCCAGGGTAGGACCCTGCTCCCCACTGCACCTGCAGAGCTGGGTAGGTGGGTGCCAGCTCCTGCCACCTCCCAAGGTGTCACACAGATCCCCTGGCCCCAGGCAGCACCATCTAGGGACAAGCACCCTGCTGTGCCAGCCACAAGGCTACATCCTGCCCCACTGCCTGATTATTTAATCCTCTACACAGAGACCCCAATGCCTTAGGGCCAGATGCACATCCGTGCTTGCCCCATGTACCCTGGCAAGGTCCCATCCCAAAGCCATGTCTCCCCTGCCAGGGAAACCTGCCTGCCCCACAGTGCCCAGCTGGGTAATCACAATCCAGAGTCCCTCTTTTAGCGTCCGTGCACAGCCACGTGCAGCCTCCACTCGCTATCATGTGCACGTGGATTGGTGCAGGAACACAGTGCGGGAACTTGGCACTGTCCCAGCTCCAGGTGGATTTATGGGGATGGCTATTAGCTCTCCCATGATGGTGTTGGGGATAAATGGATTAAAACCCTGCTGACTCATTGCTCTTTATTCCTGAACTATGTTTCTCATCCATCCCACTGGGGCTTGGTGACCATCTCAGATCCCTTGTCTCTCATCCCTCAAAAATATCTGGGGGTGATAGGCAGGAATGTCATCTGTAGCTCAGCGGGACACTTTGATACCCAGCTCTCGGTCCACTGCCTGGAGGAAACGTTCGTTGAGGAAAAGCATCTGCCCATGGGGCAGGAGACGGTCCAGGAGGCCATCGGCGGCATCAGGACGGAGCAGGACGTCAGCGCCGGGGCCGAGGAGGCGCATGGAGAAGAGCAGGCGGGGAGCCAGGCGCCGCAGGGTGATCTCAGCCAGTGACAGATTCTCTTGGGGCTCACAAACCAAGGCGAAGGCGAGGGCCAGCACTGACAACCAGACTACTGTCACCCGCTCAGGGAATGGGTCGCCGGGGGGCATCTGGAAAAGACCCCCTGGAGCATCTTGGAGTGACATCGGCTCATTGGGCAGCTGGGGAAGCTGTGGGGAGGACGGGCGCCCCAGGGATGACTGAAGCAGTTGACACTGGGAGGCCACTTGCCTGGAAGAGAAAAGGGGGACCCTCGTGTTAAGGACCCCCACCTCATCCAGGGACCGTAGGGTCCCAGAAGAGGGTCCCAGGGATCCTGCCGAGCCCAGGAGCCCCAGAAAGGGTGGATCCCATGAAGGAATGGTGGGAGGGCATGGTCCTGGGGGTCTCGCTGAGCCCTGTCCCCCGAAAGGGGGGCTGCCACAGGCTCTCCTCAGGAATGGAAGGTGTCCCACAGCCAAGGGATGTCCCGGCCCTGAGGGTCAAAGCCCAAGAGCCCTCCCATCGCACAAAGGGTCTATCACTGCTGTGGGAATCCCAGGCAGACGGAGGAGGAGTCCCAGTTCCAGAGGGCTCGGGAGATGTGGGGCACCGGGTGCCGGGTGCCGCAGCGAGCCCAGCAGGCGCAGGAGGGGATCCCGGGGCGGCGGCTGCCCGCCGTACCTGGCCACGGCCAGCAGCTGCTCCTTGCGGCGGAGGCGCCGCCGGGGGCCCCCGGGGCCGGGGCCGACGGGGGTCCCGAAGGCGCGCGCGTACAGCACGCGGCAGGGGGCGGGGCCGGCGGGCCCGCCCGGCGCCAGCAGCACGAACGCCCGCACCATGGCGGCCCCGGCCCGGCCGCGGCCCCGGCGCGACGGAAACGGCGGCACGGGCCCGGAAGGAGCGGCCCTGGCGGTGGGCGGGGAGGGAGCGGGTGACGATTGGCCGAGGCGCGGGGGCAGCGGGAGCTGATTGGCGGGCAAAGGCCGGTGGGCGGGGAAAGCGCGCGGGGCTGGGCCGGGCGGAGGCGCTGTGCCCCGTGAGGGAGCCCCCGCCCCGCCGCCGCCGTGCCCGCGCCGCGTTCCCCTGCCGGGCTTCTCCGGGGTACGGCCACGGAGTGCGGCACGGCGCCTGTGGCTCAGAGTGGCAGCACAGCACAGTTCCGGGATCTAAATGCGGCAGGAAGTGTGTGTTCCTGGGCGTGGGGTGGAGGCGGCTGGGAGGGGACATGGGGGTGATGTGGCTTGAGGTGGCGCAGCGGGACATGGCCGGGGCCAGCATGGAAAGGTGCTTGTCTTGCGTGGGGCACACGGGCTGTGTGGCTGGCACTGGGGACATCCTATGGCCAGAGGGGCCATGGAGAGGGTGGAGACACGAGACTCTTCCATGAGACCTTTCCAGCCATGGAACACTTGTTTTCTGCCACAAGTGACTCCAGTGGTAAAGCTGGTTTTTGACAAATTCCTTATGGCTGTGGCTGGTTATTCGTGGGTTGAAGGTGGGAGTGGGAGGGTGTGAGGGTCTTTTTGGCGTGTTTGGGAATGTGATAACCCAGCTGTGGTGTGCGTATTCGAGCTACAGTGTCCATATTCCAGCCACGGTGTCTGAAAGAACACGACAAATGTGTCTTTATAAACAGACCATGTGAATCTGCTTGTAGATAGGGCTAGGAACTTACAGATAAAGAAGTAACAGAAGAAACTATTAGTTCTAGAAAATGTTACTAATCAACACGGACTGTTGCTTAGCCAAGGCTGTGTTAAATTCCTGAACCTAGAGAAAAAGAACAAAGACTTAATAGAATTCTGAATACCTTTGTTTTCCTGCTTTCTTTTGTATAACAAAAGGCGGGGTGTGTACCCGAGAGGGGTGTAGAGTAGGCGAATTGGGCCGTCTGTACCTCAGCCAGTGGGGAAGAGGAACAAAAAGGGGGCTGAGTCCCCCAACAATCTGAGACACCTGATGGGAAATTCCCATGGCCGCTCTCTTTATTCGAATAAAGTCACACGACTCCTCTGTCTCCCTCTTGGACACAAACGTCTGACATGGTGGATTCATGTCCCTAACAGTGTCCCTCCCAGGAGCGGATGGCCAGCCTTATCCTCACGCAGCCCTGCTGCCCACAGCCCAGAGCCGCGCCTCGCTGGGCGCTCCCGCTGCCGCTCCCCATCCCGTTCCCGCTCCCCATCCCGCTCCCCATCCCGTTCCCGCTCCTCATCCCGCTCCCCATCCCGCTCCCGCTCCTGAGGGGTCGCACCGCGGCCGCCAGGCGGCGCCCGGTGCGGGACAGGCGCGCGGCGCCGCCCGGCGCTCTGCACAGGCCCCGCCAGGGGGCGCCGCCGCGCGGGGCCGCGGGAGCCTGAGGGGCCCTTCCCGGGGGTCCCTTCCCGGGGATCCCGTCCCGGGAGCAGCTGCAGGTCAGCCCCCGGCGAACCCTCCTGCCACCGGGCCTCAGCTTTGGTCTTCTCCCCAGCTCTTTTCCAGAGCCACTGCCGGCAGGACGAGGCCTTCGGTCCCGCGCTGGCTCTGCTGTAACCCGGCAGAATAGCTCGAACTGGCCGCTCCCGGAGCCACTCGTGCCCGAGAGATAGGCGCCGGGTGTGGATCCCCCAGGAAGACGCCGGGATGCCTGCACCGCGGACGATGCCTGCCCTCAGCCCGCGCAGAGATGCTGCGGGGACTCCAGTCAGTTTGCGTCTCCAGCTCGGGGAAGGCTCTCTAGTTTCTGCTTCACCTCGTTTGCAGCTTCAGGTGATTTGTTTCTGTCCTCAGTTTGTCTCAGGTTCAGCTCATAGAGTCTGTTCGTGCCTCCAGCATGTTTTAGACTCCAATTTGGTTTCACCTTCCCCGGCTTCTTTCCGGCTTTCAGCTTATTTGCAGCTCCAGTTTGTTTCCATGTTCGGTTGGTCTGTGGCTCCAGTTCATTTCTGCTCTGGCTGGTTACTGCTTGTGCTTTTCAAATGATCTTGGCTTTTGACAGGGCCACAAATCAATCACTATCATAACTCAAATATGAACAATCTACTGTAGATTGTCTGAAGATGGACTAAACTTCTTGGACCAATGCAAGTGGACATTCAACCTCTAGTACCACACCACAGGTGCCCCAATACTGGTTCCCACTGTCAGGAAAACCCACTAACGCCTGAAGTTTATGTCCATAAAGGAGATAGAGGAGTCCTGCAAGTTTATTCGAATAAAGGGAGTGAGTCCCGCACAAGCTCG